GTAGGGAGAGGGAGCGGTTGGGTCTTGTCTGGTCTCTGCAAACAGCCTAGCCAGAAACCACCCAGCCCAACCTGGGCAGAACCACTTCAGAGTTTAATTCAGCAACAAAGAGTGGTTAGACAGAAGTTAGCCCTAAAGATTTGCTTTTCAGGGCAGCTTTCTGGCACTAAAAGGCATGGACAGAAACTAAATAGTCCATTATCTTCTTGTTGCAGGGGAGAGCCAGAGGAGGAGGGGAATGACTCAGCGATCAGGTAACTTGAGAGCTAGGTGACAGCCCTGCCCATAGGGCTGGATTTGCCAGGTGGAACGGACTCCCCAGCCTTGGCTTCGGGTGGACCATCAGAGCAGGAGGCCAGACGGGGGACAGGGGTTTGTTGGCACAGCGAGAGGTCAGGTGAGCTGAGTGATCAGGAGAGCAACCCTGGGCTCTAAACAACCAAAACAAACCAGACCATGAGCTCCACCAGAGGAGGCCCACTGCTACGAGCGCAGTAGGCGAGCAGCAGCCAGGCAGACAGCCACATTGTCGCGAAGACAGAGGGAAGGAAAGCGTCACCAGGGCTGAGGAGCCCGCCTTTCCCCAGACAAGGAGGTCGTGAAGTCTTCCTTCTCCCAGTTGCCCTGGGAGAGAATCAGAGAACAGGGAGACTCTAGGAAACTGAGCATTTGTTTTTATCAAAAGATAAAGAGAACAACCTAAAAGAATTATTTAAATCATTGCAGTGGAGTGGCCCACGTTTTTTTAGACATAATTTTAAAATCACATTTTGACTATATTTATTAGACGTAGTACTCGTAAATGCATAAATTTTCAACTCTGTTATAATACAAATGCTTATTGAATAAATGAACGAACTAAATAAGATAGAAGAGAGAAAACAAAGATGTTTAAAATGACTTATCTTCTTAAACACTAGAGTTTCCCGGCCAAAGAAATACTAAAACCTAAACCATTAGTTTAGCAGTAAGATTATGGTTCCTTCCCATGTGTTTGTCCCCGTACAGATGAACCTAAGAAAAAATTGTGAAGTAGATATAATTTCTCTTCAATTCTCCCAAAACTCAACATTCTACTAAGCTACCTGATTTACTCTGTTTTTTTAAACCATTACAAATACCTTGCTCTCAGGGAAAACGCAATATTAATTATAAACCGCAGGGTGAATTTTTTAATGCTAGATGATAAAAGGTTTGGTACATTTAAAAGTACTTCATGTACAACCAAATCTAGTTTCCATAGCGATTATTTCGTATTATGTAAGAGACAACAAGCGTTGAAGTAAAAAGATCTACCAGTTACATACTGTGTGAACTTGAGCAAGACACTTAACCTCTTTGAGCCTGTTTCTTCGTTTGTGAAAAAATGGAGAACTCATCATAGCTGTGCCAACGCCATTCATTTTTATGACGATTGAAGGAGATCGTATTAGTGAAAGTGCTTTGTTTTCTTTGAAGAGTATAGTTATAATCATTATGTCAAAGACAAAGAAAAAGGCCGGGCGCGGTGGCTCACGCCTGTAATCCTAGCACTCTGGGAGGCCGAGGCAGGAGGATTGCTTGAGCTCAGGAGTTCGAGATCAGCCTGAGCAAGAGCGAGACCCCGTCTCTACTAAAATTAGAAAGAAATTAATCAGACAACTAAAAATATCTAGGAAAAATTAGCTGGGCATGGTGGTGCATGCCTGTAGTCCCAGCTACTCGGGAGGCTGAGGCAGAAGGATTGCTTAAGCCTAGGAGTTTGATGTTGCTGTGAGCTAGGTTGACGCCATGGCACTCTAGCCCGGGCAAAAGAGTGAGACTCTGTCTCAAAAAAAAAGACAAAGACAAAGATATTTAGGGGTCAAGGCAGGCCTTCAGGATTGCCCTGGGATAGCACTTGTGCACTGATTCTTAATCCTTTGACAGCAATGCCTCTGTGAGCGCCAGAGAAAGGAAGAGTGTCTAAATGCCCATGTAAACGTACTGTGGTCAAAAAGCTTTGTCATGCTCCCCAGACCAGTCCACTACTTATTCTACAAAACCTGGACTATTAAACGTAAGTTTCTGAGCCCAGGGTTGGTTCACGGTGGCTGTGAACACTTTTAAGGCAGCACCGTGCGGTTCAGGGAAGGGTTGATTACTGATGCCACGGAAGAGCTCCCGTGGGTCCTGAGATAAAGAGGAACACCAGGATTCTGTCACCCTCAGTAGGTCGTCAGTCTGCTGCTCAGGTGGTAAGTACAGAAGAGATGAAATTGCATCTAAACATCTAATTTTTAGCTCTGTTGAGGCATTCTTTGCTGGATGTCCTGTTCTCATGAGCAAGCGTTCAAAGCAAGTTCCTGTTTTCTGTAAAACCTGTTTTCCTTCAACATCGGATCCCAGGATTCCAACTGTCTACTGCGTCGCCAATCATGGTGGGGTCCTGACTTTCTGACGTTTCAAAGACTTTTTCCACAAAGACCAGATAATGCTCACAGGTCTGTTGAGGACCATTCATGACAGCCAGGTTTCCAAAAAGCTTCACAAAACCTGTCAAATAGAAGCTAGAGAAAGGGTCTGAATTTGCCCCAATTGTATTAGAAATCTGGCCAATCACTCCTTCTTGAGCAAGGTACTGTGGGCCATGATGAGTATGTGCCAGTGACGTCACCGTTTCTACGCAGGTGGCTTTGACTAGCATATCCGCACCAGGTCTCTCAGGAGCTGGGACACCAATCCACCTTTGGTAGATTCTGGTGACACAGAAGAAATCTCTATAATTAGCTCATATACCTTGTATGGAATGATATCATTTGTTTTCATTACAGTTCAAATCAGCCAGCAGATTGCTTCCAAATGAAGCCTCCCGCCCAGCCTGTGGTAGTGACATTCCCGACAGGGCTTTGATGGCCGCTTTAGCTACAGGGAAATTCTCTCGACCAGTGCAATAAACACCTTGTTTGAGTAACTCAGCATTATTTAGAATCTCAGTGACAGCATCGGAATTTTCAACAATTCTTCCAACCAGGGGTTCTCATTGAGCAGGGAGAAAACTCCGTCACCTGCTCACAAAGCTGGCTGAGCGACACTGAGTGAGGCGCTGGCGGTGGCGCTTCCAGCCCCGCCACCTCCCTCTGCTCACCAAGGCCTGGGCCGCCATCTTGCCCTCCCCCAGCCTGTGGATTTTTTTTGTTGTTGTTAATTTTGTATCCTACAACTTTATTGAATTTATTTATCAGTTCTAAGAATTTTTTTATATCTAAAAATCATGTCATCTGCAAACAAGGACAATTTGACTTTCTCCTTTCCAATTTAGATGTCTTTTATTTCTTCTCTTGCCTAATTGCTGTGGCTAGGATTTCCAGTCCTGTGTTGAGTACGAATGGTGAAGGTGGACGTCCTTATCTTGTTGCAGTTCTTAGAGGAAAAGCTTTAACTTTTCCCTGTTCAATATGACATTAGCTGTGGGTTTGTCGAGTATAGCCTTCATTGTGTTGAGGTACATTCCTTCTATACCTCAACTGTTGAGAGTTTTTATCATGAAATGATAAATCGCATTGTATCAAATGCTTTTTCTGCATCTATTGAGATGAGTATATGATTTTTGTCTTTGATTCTGTTGATGTAATATATCACCTTTATTAATTTGCATATGTCGAACCATTCTTACATCCCAAGGGTAAATCTCACTTGGTGGTGCATGATCTTTTTGATGTGCTCCTGGATTTTGTTTGATAGTGTTTTGTGGAGGATTTTTATATCTGTGTTTATGACGGATATTGGTCTACAGTTTTCTTTTTTTGTTGTTGTTGTTTCTTTTTCTGGTTTTGGTATCAGGGAAATTCTGGTCTCATAAAATGAGTTTGGAAGTATTTCCCACCTCTTTAATTTTTTTAAATATTTGAGAAGAATTGGTATCAGTTCTTCACAAAATACAAATGAATGAATGAAAATTTTAAAACAAATTTCATAGCATTGTACAAACAGGTATGTATATATGGCTGGGAATAACATCTTCAGGGACTATGATATAAAGACTGGAAAGGTACCACACTTCAAACTTCTTGGAAGTGCTCTGGGAAACTTCTATTTGCAGGCAAATGGCGAGCGTGTAAAACATCGCAGAGGAGCCCAGGGCTGTATCAAACCCACGAAGGGAAAGAGCAACGGGGGCCTCCCAGTCATCTCTACTGGCTTCACCTCTGTTTACTGCTCTCGATCTTTTCCTTTCTTCTCAAGTCCTTTAAATATACTCACTCCAGTGCTTTCTATCTTAGCAAATTACAGCCATTAAAAAAGACATCAGCTCGGGTAAAGAAAGAACAGAAAATGAAAGAATAGGCTGGGCGCGGTGGCTCACGCCTGTAATCCTAGCACTCTGGGAGGCTGAGGTGGATGGATCGCTAAAGCTCAGGAGTTCGAGACCAGCCTGAGCAAGAGCGAGACCCCGTCTCTACTAAAATTAGAAAGAAATTAATCAGACAACTAAAAATATCTAGGAAAAATTAGCCGGGCATGGTGGCACATGACTGCAGTCCCAGCTACTCGGGAGGCTGAGGCAGAAGGATCGCTTGAGCCCAGGAGTGTGAGGTTGCTGTGAGCTAGGCTGACGCCACGGCACTCTAGCCTGGGCAACAGAGTGAGACTCTGTCTCAAAAAAAAAAAAAAAAAAAAATGAAAGAATAAGGAATAAAGAGATCAACTAAATCTGTAAACACGTAAGTTTACTTGAGGGTCTGCTTCTGGACCACTGGCCCGGCCAGATGCCGTTCGCCTCCCCCACGCAGGTGTTCTTCAACGGCGCCGAGGTCGGGCCGGTGGATGCCCGCTGACCGGAGCCTGGCATCCTGGCGGCCCACGTGCGCCCCGCGGGGCCTGAACGCCGACTCCCACTGGCCGCAGAGGCGGCGACGCTGCACGTGCCGGACCTGGGCGCAGCCGGGGGCGGAGATCCAGACCCGCATCGAGGCCGGCGGGGCCCTGGGGAGGGCCCTCGGCGCGTGCCTGGGGAAACCGAGGCCTGGGGCTGAGACGGGATGTCCCGGGCAGGCGGCACCAGCTCCCGGGCGTCCAGGCTGCCCAGCGGGGCCAGCAAACCCCAGCGTGGTCTGGGAAGGGCACCAGGGGGAGCCTGCCTCTGCCTCCAAAGGCGGGTGATCAGGGAGGACAAGAAAGGCCACAGGGGCCCCCAGGGGTCAGCGCAGCGCAGGCCTCTGACCCTGCCTCTCAGGCCCTGCCTCGTGCCCGGGACCCCCGGAGGAACAAGCCCGTCCCCGGCTTGGCTCGCGCCGGCCTGGGGGTGCGCACAGCCCTCCGCCCTGCAGAGCCTGTCCCCGCACCGGCGACCCGCCCTCGGCCCGCGCCCCCGGGAAGACCGGGAAGCCTGGTCTTGGCTGGTGCCGAGAACCGCGCCGACCCTGTCTTTCGAAGCGAATCGAATACAGAAAATCCGTGACGGGCGTGTGGGAAGCCTGAAAGATGACACCGTGGGGTCTCCCAGAACGTCCTTGCGGGCCGCGAGAACAAAAGGAAAGCGGCGGGGCTGCGGGAACTGAGACCTCAGAGGAGGCCCCCGGGGCGTGGAGCGGGCGCCCCGGAGAAGGGGCCGCTCGGGAGGCCACGCGGGCCCCTGCGCGGCGACGCCCCTCCCGGCGGGGACAGCCCGGGAAACGGAGTTCTCAGCCCGGCAGCGCAGAGCGAACCAGAACAGGGTAAACTGTGCGAGGCACTGGGTAAATAAACAGCGTAACGTTTACGTTTATTCGCTTTAACCCCGACCTGCCCTCGTCCCTGCTTCCCTCCGATTGCCCCACGCAGGGCGTCTGGCTGCTAGAAAACTGACGTCCTCCCTCCGGTCCGGCCCTTCTTCCCAGGGGCTCCCTCCTCCAGCACCGCAGCTCCGTCCCCACCGCGTCTCCCGCGACTGCTGTGAAAGAAACTCCCAGTTCATCTGTTCTTCCCTCCAGCCGCTCCTCTGTCTCCTTCCTTGCTTCCCTTTGCTGACAAGCTTCGAGAATGATCTGCTCGCCTTTCTTGCGCTCTCTGATCACCCCCCTTGGAGGCAGAGGCGGGCTGGCTCCCCAGGCCCGGGGTCAGGAGGGCCTCTGGGAACCAAGGCCCCTGGTGCCTTTCCCTCCTTTCCCCTTGACTTCCGGGGGGGGGGGGAGGTGGCACTTCTCTACTTCCGCTCTTCTCTCCACCGCTCTGCCTGATGTCATCTTCGGATTCACCTGAAAAATGAATATTTTCTGAAAATGAAATTTGTTCGTCTCTTCCCTTTTGACTGCCATTTTTCTTGAAGACTGCTATTCCCTCTCAACTTTCTCCTTCAAGAAATTAATTCATATTGAGACTTGAGAATTATCACGTCTCTTCTTGTAGATCTCAAATCCACGTATGGTGGCATCTGTATTGCCTGCCATTCCTGTGCTGCCCGACCCCCAGCTGGAGATTCCACTCAGCAAATTGCAAGACTGCCTGGACTTCATCATGTCCAAACCAACCTCCCAGGTTAGTCAATGAAACTTTTCTCCCGCTCATCCAGGTTGGAATGTTTGGGGTTGTTTTGGAGTTAGCACAAGTACTTTAAATTTTCCTTAAACATTTCTTTCTTCTTCATTTCTTCTTTACTGTTTCCCTAAGCCCTGAGACTAGAGCAGTACACAGAAGAGAGCACAGACTTTGGAGCCAGATGGGCTGAATTCTAATTCTGATTTGGTCGCCCACCACCTGGGGACCCTGGCTCTGGGCCTTGGTTTTTCTCACCTATGAACAGGAATAATAATAGTACTTACCTCGTAGAGTTGGTCTGAGAATTAAGTAAATGAGTTAGTAAATGTAAAGCACTTAGAACAGTGCCTGGCACATACTAAGCGCTACATAATTGTTAGCCATGATTATTATTATTATTATTATTCCTTAGGAGCTTGAACTCCGGGAAAAACCTTTTAGAATCTTATCTCAGGCTGTTCGCATACTCTCTCTTATCCTCAGTTCTTTACAAAATGTGACCTATAATAATACCTTCCGAAGAAGAATTAAAAGATATAAGTAAAGCACTTAATAAAGTAATCATTCAATAAACTTTGGCTATTATTAGTGATATAATGGAATGATCAATGAAAACAATACTATCCTATGGAAAATCACCATAGAGTCTTTATTCTTAAACGACTATTTTCAGTTTATAGATTGCACCCTTCCCTGGTATGTATGCATTTTTATATTGTTGAAATCATAGGAATCGTGTCATTTTGCATTATTTTAAAATCATTTATAATATTTTTCTTTCTGCATCATTTTAAACATGATCATTTGCATATCGTTTCATTGTACCTATCTACAATATTTTACTGAAACATTTGCTGACACGTTTAGATTTTGTGGTTTTGGCATTCGGAGGAAACTGCCAAGAATCTCTGTACAGCTGTGCCTTTTGGCTTCTCTGTGATTATCTCCCCAAACCTTGCACAGGGAGATCTATGAACAAATATTTCCAACATTCTATACCTATTTTTTATGTCAGGATCAGGACCAAGTTGGCAAAATATTTTCTAACTCGGGAATAAAGGAGATAACTTTAACTCTATTACCAACTTTGGCTTCACTATCAAAGTGAAATATTTGATTTATGGTGTCAGATTTGGGTGAATTAAACATATTACCCTTGCAGCTAAGGCTTTTTGCTCCTTAGCCTGACTCAACCCTATAATATTTGAAAGCCATTAGACTCTTTATGCATTCGTGGGAACAGTTGCATCTTTTTCCTTTCCAAATACCTTTTAGGTAAATATTAACCATGATGTTTTGCCAAGTCATTTGGCCTATAAAGTGAGGAATTTGGACAGGATGATTTCTGAGATCCTTGCCAGTTACAAGCCTTCCTTAGGCTTGCTAAATGTGGGGGCTATTTTTGTGACTAGATAGCTGAAGGTCTTACTTAACTGCTCTGTCCCTCTCCCCTTTTGTAGAAGAGTGGAAAGAATACGGACTTCTGAATCAGACATATGTGACCTGGGATTCTGCCACTGCCACTTACAAGCTTCGGGACACCTTTGAAGATGATATGGCTTCCTACCCCTGCATAAGCTCACCCTTCTGGTTTTACCTGATTGCTCCATGGCCAGACATCTGACCAAGCTGGAGACCTGACTCAGCTGAGTGATAGAGAGGTTCTAGGTAAAAGCATTAGAGCCAGGGAGAAAGGAGAGAAAAGAGAGACAAAAGCAAAGATGAGAGGTAATCAGCTCCTGAGATCCAGTTGTTCAAGATATACCGCCCACTTCTTCTCCTTTGATATTTCTATGATTGCCTGTTATATTTATACTATAAAACTCTTATTAACTCCAGCCTAAGTATGGTTCTGTTCTTGAAGCCAACATCTCTGACTTAGAAATGACATTCGGGGACCTGTAATCTTCTCTTACTTCATCTGTAAAATGAGAGTAATACCTTCCTTGTAGGGTTGCTCTGAGGATGATATTTGATAATGTACGGAAAATCTCCCAGTAGAGTTCTGAAGACAAGAATTCTAATACCCTACCATGTCTGCCCATCGTTCTGTAAACACACCAATCCAATGAGTCTTTCAAATTGATTGCAACAAGTGAGTTCCTTGATACCATTCAGCCTATCCAATAAGTAGCCAGACTCCTTCCTCTGCACTGCCTTCCACAAGTAAAGGGGGGAGAGCGAGAGAGAGGATTAATGGCCATTCCCTAGAAGCGATGCCTATTCAATGCTCATAAGACCACAGTGAAGAGCTGGAAGACCTTTCTAGCCTCTCTGCTGAGTGGAGTAGTGCGCCCCTCCTATAGCTCTTTACACCTGCATAATTGGTGTAGTTGGAAACAGCCAAGAATGTTGTGCCCTTGACAATTCTAGAGAAATGTACAGTTTACGTTTATGTGTATATGTTGACAGACAACATCTAGCTGAGTAGTTAAATGCACTGTGTGTTCCCCAAGTGTTGGTAGAAGACTTGGGATTTATTAAAAATCAAACTCGTATTCTCTTTCCCATACTTATGGCATTGAACAAAGGACAATGGAATACCCAAGTCAATTTTTGGTCTATTTGCCAAAATGATCATTATGGACTCAAACATCTCTCTACAAAGCCTTCTCTGGGTTCTTCAATCAGAATGCCCTCCCCCTGATGCGGTAGCACTGCCAGGATAGGCTCCCTTGCTCACCTGTGTGCCTTTTCTCTCATAAATTTTATGGATAATAATTGTAGCTAGTATTTATTGAAAATTATCCTATCTGCCATAGGTGCTTTACATGGATTACTTCATTTACTCATCAAACAGTCCTTCAAGTAGTACTATTATCTACCGACATCTTACAGATAATAAAACCAAGGCAAAGAATAGTTAAATAATAAGTCCAAGTTCACACAGCTAGTAAGAAATGGTGCCTGTCTGATCCAACAGCCACGCCATAACCACTGCTCCATGCTGCCTCTTGGCATGGGTGGAAGCCATGTCTTATTCAACCCTGCCACCCCACTGGACCCAGCTTAGAGCCTGGCATAGGAAGGTGCTCAGTCAATGCTGATTGGTACTGCACGGAGCACAAATGTCAGGGATGGTGACACCTTTGCTGTGACTGATGGGTGTCTGACTCCCTGCTGTGAAGAGGAGGGTGCTGGATCAGACACGTTCCTCTGGCTCCCAGCTCTCTCCGTCCCACCTCATTTCTCCTGCTTCCTCAGTCCTCCTCCCTCCTAACCGCACCATGTGGATTCAAGGTTGGAGCTCAGTGCAAGGGGAAAACAGAATTATGAATGACCTATGTGGGATTGAGAGAGGAGAAACAGAGTTCGAGAGAGAGAGGGAGACTGGAAGAGGGAGATTAAAATTTACGCGCAGGGAAATATTTAACCTAATGAAAACCAAACGTTATCTGAAATAAGCATATCGCAATGTCAAGGTTTCGTGTGCTGGTTCAGTGCCCTGTTCTCTCCTATTTGACAGTCCGAGAATAATCTAATGGGCGTGACTTAAAGACACAGATCACGTGTGGAATTGGGTGTTACTCAAGCAAACAAAATATCTGTGCGATATATCCACTTTATGCACTCAAGCAAGGAAGAAGTCCACGAGAACTCATCAGTGTCCTGGTCTGCAGAGAAGACAGAAATAACATGAGCACAGAAGGAAAAGTAAGCAAAAAACCATTAGTATTGGAAATATATTCTCATTAGTATAATGAACAAAGGGATATGGTATTTGATGACTAATTTAAAAATTCATATCTAAATTAGAAATGATACACTGAATACAATATGCAATATATGCTAAAATTTATGTCTACTAAACTACAATGGAAATAACCTATCTGAAATAACTTTAACAAAATGTGTCAAATTCCTATCTGTTAAAGTCTACATTTCCTACTGTAAATATTTGCAGTAAAGTGAGCTTTTTCCTAGCTAAGCATAACTAATTTGTAATTCTAAAGTCAGATAAGTCTTTAATCATGAAGTTATCTTTTTTCAGAGAAACGAGTTATAAAAAAAGAAGTTATCTTTATATTAAGAAACCATGATTTAAATGTGTTATTCTTTGTAATCACATTCTTTTTATGAACACCAGAAAGTTAAGAGTGACAAAAGTTTTGTGAGAAGAATTTGATTGAGAAGACTGAAATATCCTTTTAACCTTCAAATAAAATCACTTACAAAATGCATATCGATCTCCAAGCGTTAAAATCATCAGGGTTAAGCAAGACAACATCACCATGAAAATTCTGATTTTGAAAGGGCTGTTATGGCACAATTTAGACAATTTCAACAGAAATCCTATAGCACAATATCTCCCCATATATAAATCAGCATGATTTTTGGAAAATTAATACGAATATAATTTGAATTACTTATTAGCGCTAGGAACACAGGTTCTAAGCCTTCCAAAAATTTATATTTATTTCTTCAATGTGTTGACAGGCGAATGGCACGTGGCCATTCAATGTAATCAAATCCTGTTTTTAGTTGCTTGCTAACAAGAGGCTGTGCACCATTTCCAGCAGGTTTGCTGTGTTAGGAGTGGAGCACACAGTAAAATGTCTTGCTAGGATCTCAATCTAAAGGTTCTGACGTTTCTACATACACTCTCTGATAAAACAGGTTCATATCAGGAAGATTGGTTGGAAATCGCATGAGTGGCCAATTGTCAATGTTCTTATTCCACCTCACTTTATTTTCATTCATTACTGATTAGTATTTGCCTTCTAAAGGAAAAGTAATTAGGAAAAAGAAAAATTAAATTTACCAAAACTCAGCTTAAGCTAAATAATGAGTTCATTAAGCAAAATTGAAGTGTCAGCCAATCATATTGATGAAAATAATAAATGATGAAATAAGCAATCGATCCTCCCCTCTCAGGTGCAGTGTTAATAACTTAGCATTTTGATAGAGTTTCATTTATGTTTGTCCTGCCTCCATTTTATTTTCCTCAAATGCCAATGGTGATAGCACTAATATCTACTTTATAAGATGGTTATGAGAATTTAATAAATTAATAGTGTAAAGCACTTAGAATAGTACCTGGTACACAGAAATAAGTCAATAAATGTTAGTCGCCGCTATTGCTGCTGTTGTTACTTAACTTTTTGTTAACTTTTATCTACCATGGGGTAGTGAAAGGTAAGGCTGGATTGATCTTCGTTCCCTAGACAGCCAGCTTTGTGACTTTGGGAAAACTATTCGATCCAAGTCAATTGATCCTCAATCTTGTCATCTGGAAAATAAAGCCAGTAATTCAGTAATACTATCCTGGCAGCCCCTTGTCAGGTTTAGAGACAAAGCCTGAAACTCAGCCAGCACAGCCCACAAAGTGCCTGTCTCATCATAGGCACCTGTTCATCAGGACCCTCCTGCTATGAGGATGTTGTTTCCAAGGATTCTCATATTTATTTTGACATTGACCATGGTGATCACCCTGCAAAGTGGAAGGATTTGACAAATAATGAAAATGAATTCTCAGAGGAATAAATTTCTACTCAATTTATCATATTCGTATTGATGTGAATTCTTTCTAGAAAGAGCTCTGTTAACTGTACCCGTTTTACGACAATGAGGATAGGTTTTATGACACATTCCCACGCACTGAAAATATGTGTTCAACTTCCATTTTTAAGAGCATTTATGGATAAGCTACGCTAGCAAGAAATTCAAACACACACCTGTTAGGTACCACACATGGGGCTAGATGTTCCTTGTACAAAGATGAAAAAACCCAATCCCTGACTTGAAGAGTGCAGATAAACTGGTATCATCACTGTGTTTCGTTTTCCAGGTAATAAAATGCAAAGCCGCTGTGCTGTGGGAGCTAAACACACCTTTTTCCATTGAGGAGGTGGAGGTTGCACCCCCTAAGGCCTATGAAGTTCGGATTAAGGTGAAACATTTTTCCCACTTCTATTGAATTTTAGCTTTAAAAAAGTTCAGAAAATATTAAAAATGGAAAAACCAAAAATCCATTCAGAGGCACATTTTATATGGCAATTCAGACAATGGAATTACATTTGTTATCAAGAAGAGATGTGAACATGAATTATTAGATTTTTCAAAAGTAACCAAAGACTATATACAATATAATCACAGTAAAATAAAAAACAGTTTGTGTGTCTGTATATTTAAAAAGTGCAAAGGGATATATCAAGATTTCAAAATCAATTAGCATTTAATCTGCAATTTGTGGTTCTATAAAAATGCATTCTTGTGTTATATAAGATAAATAATTCAAGATAGGTTATTTCCCAGATTATTCCAAACTCTTTGATTCAGGAAAGGAAAGTAAAGAAGGGTTTTAGACTGCATAGCCTTACTTGGGGATAAACTGCCTCTTTTGCATTTGGAAAGAGTAGGAATTATTAGCAAAATCCTTAAAAATGTTTTAGAAGCACAGTTTCAGAAAATTGGGTGTGTTAAATCCATCTGAGGGTCAGAATCTTTTCTAAATCTGATCATCTTCTCTTTATTCTGTAGATAGTGGCCACAGGAATATGTCGATCAGACGACCATGCGATTAATGGCCAAATTGGGGGCCGTTTTCCTATGATAGTAGGTCATGAGGCAGCGGGCATCGTGGAGAGCATTGGAGAAGGGGTGACCACGGTCAAACCAGGTACAGAATTCACACTCAGGGGTTGTGCCTTGGTTCATGACCTCAAGATCATCCAGCCTGGAGGAAACTGAGGCAACGAGAGATGAAAGATTTGCACGAGTCACAGCCCAGCTGGGCCCTGAAGTGTTTTCTCCTCCCTCCCCCCTTGCCCGACTCGAGCACGTGTCGTACTCAGGTACTCTCCCCTTCAGCACATTTATTGAGTACCTATTGATTCAAGATGCCAGACACTAGGTTGGAGAACAGGGATGTGAGAGATCACAGGAGACACAGTGCCTGCCAGTGTGGACTTCATTATCCAATCACCCCAGTTTAGTGTTGCTGGGCACTGTCTGCTGTCAGGCCCCAAACAGAACTAGCAGTGGGACAAGGAAAAAAACATAAGCCTTGGTCCTGAGGCTCTGGATCAGTGTATGGAAACTGCTCTGTGCTGAGTTCACAAAAGCGGGCTGTGTGGCTACAGCTGAATCAACACGATCTTTTCTTAAGTAACACATGGAGGCCATTCACCAATTTCCTCTTGCCGTGTAGCCTCTCTTCTTGACAGCGAATGAATGAAACAGGCTAAATAAATGAAGGCATCTCGCCATAGACAGTCTATTGTATTACCTTCAGTCATGGTTAAATGTGACTGGTTACAAATTACAAATCATTTTACCTTTGATATTTATTTTACCCTAATTTTATTGTGTAGTATTGTAAGTATTTTTACACCTGAACGCCGCCTTGGACCTCCTGGGAGGCGAGGATGGGCTCTGCCAGTACAAGTGCAGCGACGGATCTAAGCCTCTCCCACGTCATGGTTATAAACCCTCCCCGCCGAATGGCTGTGGCTCTCCACTGTTTGGTGTTCATCTTAACATTGGGATCCCTTCCCTGACAAAGTGCTGCAACCAACACGACAGGTGCTATGAGACCTGTGGCCAAAGCAAGAATGACTATGATGAGGAGTTCCAGTCCTGCCTGTCCAAGATCTGCCGGGCCGTGCAGAAAACACTGGGACTGGCTCAGCACGTCCAGGCATGTGAGCAAACGGTAGAGCTCTTGTTTGACAGCGTCACACATTTAGGCTGCAAACCCTACCTGGACAGTCAGCGAGCCGCGCGCAGGTGTCGTTACGAAGAAAAGACTGATCTTTAAAGAAGATGCTGACAGCTGGTGACAGATGAGGATGGAAGAACATAACCTTTGACAACAAACTAATGTTTTTATAGCATAAAGCTATCGTATTTTGTGAAAAGATTAAGGCCTTCCAAGAGTTTATATTTTGATGTTAAATCCCCAAAGTAAAACAAAGTGGGGGAGGTCGTGAGGAGGGCACGTCTGCCTTCTCAGGCATCTTCCCGGGGTGTCACGTAGCGTGCCACATTGTCTGACAAGTGTGTGTTAAGGGGAGAATTTTTAAAAAGAAGAATATATAACTCAATTTTCACAACCATATTTACAAAAAAGAGATCAAATATAAAATTCATTATAAGGTCCATTCACCATCATTTGGAAATATGGGAGATTCTTCACTTATATTAATAGAAGTATTATTTGTTTACTAGGAAATTTGAAATACACATTTATGCCTGAAAAGAACTGAATTTATTTTTTCTCTAATTACACATAATTTGTTGTTTCTCTTTAGCCCATTGAGCATATAGATAAGTCACACATCTATGAGGTAGTCACAAGGACAAGGTTTCCATGTCTGTTTCTCTTGTAACATCGGAACCATCATCTGGTTTCCTCCCAGGGAGCAAACCAGGATGTCTAAGTATTACGTAATGTGCCTGGAAGACGCTGTGAACAAGATTTGGAAGCATAGCCACTGCCACTTTATGAACCGCCCGTGACAAGTGTCATCTTCTGCTATATAACCTTTGCCTAAATTGGAGAAAAGATGGATTTAACGAAACAAATGAAAAGTTTAACATCACACACTGGGGCACTATTTGCTCTTATGCTTTGATGTTTATTCCCTAACACTTGTTGCCCGCGGTGGATTCTGGGATGTTTTTAAGACACTATAACCTTTTACTAATTGTGGTCTTAATAAAGATTATTCTTGATACTGAAAAAATATATATATTTTTACAGGGAAAGGGTGATTAAATACAAAATTTTCATATCACCATTCCCACATGACGTTTATCTATGAAATGTGGTGGTCTTGTGGGATAGGCAGATAGACGATTATAAATAAAAATTATGTTTCATTCTAAAATATCCCTTTAGCCAATTGATTTGACCTTCCACCTTATCAAATACTTAAATAAGCTGTGGACAACAAATAATAAAACCAACAGTCCACTTTGAGCTTCTGCTCTTAATAATTCCCATAGCCAGAAATAAATTAATAATAAAATGACACCCTTTTGTTTCACCACTTCTCCTTTCACCATAGCTGGAAAAAGGGATAATTCATAAATTATCAACTAAACCATTTGAAAGTCAGCTCTTCTCCTAAAAGAACATGCCAAACTAATTTTTAGAATTGAGGTTTTCAGAGGAATATCTTGCATTCTTCTTTGTCCTATTTTTGTTAGTTTTCCTCAAAAAGAAATTAAGATATTTTTCAAAAGCAATAAATACATATTAAAGATAAGCACACTTATTTTGAAAAGCCAAGAATCGGTTATCCAAATTCTCATTTTTATTTTAGCTTAAATTATTACAAAATATCGCATCTCCCCAACATCCTGTGGAACTATGGCAGCCCACTTTCAACTGAAAATGTTACTGACACTTACAGTGAGAATATTGAAGACTTAGTTAAGGATTAAGCGACATGATGTGTGTAAAGCCCCCAGGAGAAATCAGGACACTCAACGGAAGTTAACTGTACAGAAATAATTTTTAAAATCCATGTTGTTTTCCACATTTACGTTTCCTCTTTGGGAATCTTCACGCACGTGTAAACCCAAACCAATACCAATGTCGGCAGGTGACACAGTAGTGATTGGACCCTAGTTCATGGACACTTGTCAAAGACACAAGCCTCCAAGATATATATATATATAAGCTTTAAGTTCTTCCTCCATAAATTTCTGGAAATATAAGAAGAATTTCTTTTATCCTCCTCCAGGTGATAAAGTCATCCCACTATTTACTCCTCAGTGTGGAAAATGCAGAATTTGTAAACACCCTGAAGGCAACTTCTGCTTGAAAATCGAGTAGGTCTTTCATCCTTTCTTTGCACAGCCCTTGACTTTGCACATTAGTCATGCTCCTGTCTCATGCCCTGGTGTGTCTGTGTGTTGCACTGACCAGTCTGAGCAAGCCTCCGGGGACCATGCAGGATGGCACCACCAGGTTCACCTGCAGGGGGAAGCCCGTCTACCACTTCCTTGGTGTCAGCACCTTCTCCCAATACACCGTGGTGGATGAGGACGCCGTGGCCAAAATTGATGCAGCTTCACCGCTGGAGAAAGTTTGCCTCATCGGCTGTGGATTTTCGACTGGTTACGGGTCTGCAGTCAAGATCGCCAAGGTAGGATTGGTAGTGGGCAATAAGACCACTTACACTCAGATTGTTGGGAACCACAAGGGAAGCAACTTCTCACAAGAATCGGAGATCATTTTTCATAGGTGTGAGGTGTTGATTGCAAGCAGAAGGAATTGAGAGCATGTCTTAAAAAATTCAACTGTTAATAATAGATAAAAAGCTGCTCATATGTAGTTAAGAAAAACTAAAGATTTTATTTGAAATAATTATTCTTCTATATTTTGCCTTTTGGGACTTATTAAATTTTAGGCTTAGGAATTAATTTAGTCATTTATTCTACAATCAGAGCATACCTATACATGCCTTAGGTGCAGCAGGTTCTGAGGCAGCAAAGATAAATGAAATGAAGGGTTTGCCTTTGAAGAGCATATAGTCCGTGGACCCCCACTCACACATTTAGGATCAACAGTAGATTCCAAAGCCTCACCTGATACATTTCCAAACCAAAAGTTACCCACTCTGTGCATTCTTCACAGGAAGTAATAAAGCTTCGTTGACACACTTATTTCACTCCTTGTTGGAGTTCATCTGCGTCTCCTTCCCCGCCATGAACACACACACTCTCCTCAGAAGTGGTCAGCTTTAAGGAGAAATGCTTTAAAGGTTCCTCTTCTCAAATGGCTGAAAATCTAGTAGTGTATCTAGTAGTATTCTTCATTTTGTGAAGCCGATGTCCGGAGACATAAAGCTCACTGCTGGTTAGCATGAGAGCTGACGCTAGAATACTTTTCTAAAACCTCCTCCTTAATCTTAAATCACAATGCATAAGTGCTAGCACTTTTAAATCACAATCACAAGCCTTGTATTTTTCTTAGTAAGGTTGAAACTGGTGTTCTATCCCTTATTACTGAATAACATTTGGTGGATGAATGAGTAAATAGACACCCTTAAGGAATGTACCAATGGATTATTGGGGACAGGAAGAGCATTTTACCCACACTGCAGGCTGATTGTAGAATACTAGATTTATCAAATAGCCCCTCGACAATTTAAACAATTAAGAGCACATCTTCCCAAATTTCTGTGACTTTAGCACTTACTCTCTTGAGCAGTTGT